GTGAGCCAACCAGCCATCCCTATATAGGGATCTGAACCCTTGGCCTTGGTGTTATCAGCACTACACTCTTCCAAGTGAGCCACAGGCCAGCCTTAAGAGAAATGGGTTTTATTATTCCCATTTACAGATGGGGAAACTGAAGCTTAGCAAGGTCAGGTAATTTGCCCATGACTGCACAGCTAGACTAGAATCCAGTTGTCTGACTTTCAAGCCTGGGCTCCTAACCAGGCCCTGGAATTCATGGACACTCTCCAACCCCTATTCGCAACCAGACAGTGGCCCCTGAGCCTCTTTTCAGTACTTTCCCCTAGTTATAGAGCCCCCCAGGCCTGCCCTTATCCCAGGGCACATGCCCTACCCTCCTTTCCCATCCAGCCCAACCACAGGGCCTGAGTCCTGCTCAGTCATGGACACCCCAGCTAAAAACAAGTGGGACCCTCCCAGACTTCCCCACCTTACCCCTCCCCCTCCTCTCAGCAGCCAAACCCAGGTGGGCAGTGGGATGCTGGATACCCTTGGTGTGTCCTCCAAATCCACTTCCACCCTTTCCCACCCTGCTCTGTGCCCGTAAGGCTGCCCTCTATGACTGACCTGCAGGAACTGAGCTCTCAGGGCCTCTGGCTGCTGGTTGGGTTTGGACCAAGAGAGGCAGGAAATCAGAGGGAGCAGAGTGAGGTGGAGGAATTTATTTCCTGGGCTGCCTCCTGCTAGGCCATGGCTAAGTTCTTCTGCGGAAAGCCACAGCTCCTGTCAGGTGGCACCACTGCCTCTTCCTGCCCGGCTGGTCTGAGGGTTCCAACAGCTCTCCACTGCTGCTAGGGCCCCTGGGCACCACCTCTCCTTGGTGGGTTCCCTTAACACTGCCCACACTTCCATAAACCGTCCCTTCATTATCCAACTCTCCTCATTTACCCCATTTGAGTGTGACATCTGATTCCTGAAAAGGCAGGGAAGGTAACCTGGCCTTTAACCTGTCCATGATACCCCCACTCCTCCCCCCATCCCCGATCCCCCCATTTTCTGAATCCCAGAAGCACAGATCCAGACAGGGAAGCCAGCAGCTTACAAAGTTGTCTTTATTGGTTTCTTGCTGCCTCATAGAACATTAGAGTCTATCCCTCCTGGGAATGTGGCATTTGAGAAGATAAATACTTATTTTGCCCCCCACACTTTAGTAGGGGGAGGTTTAATAAAAACAGTAATATAATAACAATAATAATGACTGTGATCAATAATAAAATGCCCCCTAAGTTCCCCTAATACAGAGTTGGTTGAAGCTTCGAGAAAAAGGAGCCCCCTTTCTAGGAAGGGCCAGTGTGTGTCTAGAGACCCTCCAGTGGCCCCCCGCCAGGTGCCCAACTCCCACCAAGAAGCCCTTATAAATACCCTCCCCATCTCGTCCCTGCCTAGGAATTATCTTCCCCTCTGGGCGGATTAGCTGACAAAGGCAGTCCCCACTGTGCCCCTCTCTTCCCAATCTCACCAAGCTCCTCCCCAGAGAAAGGACCCCGGGTCTGCTCTCCTCCCGTCCCTCTCCCCTGTCTCTCCCTGGTCCTCCTCTACATCACTCCTTCGTCCCTCTCTCCTCCTCTGGATAGCTTCTGTCTCCTTCTACTTCCCATCACCTCTTCCTCCACCTCCTCTCTCCCCCTTGCCTCTCTCTCACCTCCTTCACCTACATCCTTCCCCCTCTTTCTCTATCCTCCTTTCCTCTGGATCAGAGCCTGTCTTTCCCACCCTGGCCCTGAGCAGAGACCCATACAGATCTCATCTTGGCCCCAGCTGGGGGCCAGACAGTCCACAGACAAGACCCCTGACCTGCTCCCAGGAACCCAGTCCTTCTCTATCCCTCATTCTAAGAGCTTTGGCACAATCACCTCTGGACACCAGGACAAATGAAGTGCCACTCTATTCCCAGCAGCTAGAACAGGCTGGGGCTGGGAGCAGAAGGGGAAGGCGGGATGAGGGCTGGGAGTCAGGACCCCCAAATTCTGGGAACCCAGGCAAGTCTCCCAGTCACTGCCCAGACCAGGCCCTCCCTGAGTCCAAATTTCCACATGCCCCGGACCAGCCGGAGTATGGCACGCCTCACACTCTTTGCTTCCTCATATCTTTCTGTGCTGGGATTGGGGTGGACCCTTCCAGAGGGCATCAAGGGGAACTCTCTGATTCAGGAGCTGGGGGGAGGCTCCGGGGTCGTTCTGAGACCTGGAGGTGAAAGAGAAGGAAGTCAGGGTGGGAAGAGGCAGGGAGGACTCTTTCCTCATCGGTCCATTGCCTCCCAGAGGCCTCCCTAGGACCCATCACCTGCTGTAGCAGAGCCCATGGAGGTAGCCAGATGTGACATGGGATGGGCTGACATGATCATTGGAAGAAACTGGAGAACTCCCATTTAACTCTGAATGAACTTAAACTTATTCTTTTTTTTTGAGGGGGGGGACCAGTAAGGGGATCGCAACCCTTGGTGTGGTGTTGCTGCACTGCTCCCAGCCAGTGAGCGCACTGGCCATCCCTACATAGGATCCAAACCCGCGGCCTCCAGTGCCGCTGCGCTCCCAGCGCCGCATTCTCCCGAGTGAGCCACAGGGTCGGCCCATGAACTTAATCAATCAAAAAATATGTTTTACTGACCCCTACCATAAAGGAGCCCACAGTCGAGGAAGGAGGGTGGGTACCTAGAAGAAAACCACAGCACAGCAGAAGCCACAAGGAAGGGATAGAGGTGGAGAGAGGGGAGTGGCAAAGGTCGCACCAGCTCCAGGGAGGCAGTGACCACCTGACCAGGTGGCCAGGAAGGTTTCTTTTGAAGTTGACAGTGGTGGGCAGCCTTGAGAGCAGCCTGGGTGTAATCAAGCTGAGGAAAGGGAAGGGCATTCAAAGCAGGGGCAAGAGCCTGAAAATATGGAAGAACATGGCAAGTCCCAGGGCTCTGAGTGGCCTGGGGTGACTGCAGTGGGGGTGGGAGTGGGGGGGCAGTGCAGAGGGTTGGAGATGTGGCCGGTGGGTGAGTGGGAGCCTTCCCAGCTCTTCTTAGGTCTTCCCCTGTCCTCAGTCAGAATGGATTGCTCCCTCCTCTGGCCACCCCACCACCACCTCCCTCCATAGGCTGAGCCTCTGTAAGAAGCCCAAGAGCTCCCCTTCTGTGCTGACTCCTTCCAAGGTACAGTCTCAGCAATAACCTCATTTTATAGGTCAGACAAGCTCAGGGAGGTTGGGTACCTCCCCAGGGGCAGTCAGAGACAAGATTCTCACCTAGACCAACCTGCCTGCAGGCCCCTGCTGGTGCCCACAGGTGGGGTGAGACAGGTAAGAGCTTACATCTCTCTCTCTCTCTGTTTCTTTTTCTTTCTTTCTTTCTTTCTTTTTTTTTATTTTGTAGCTGGCCTATATGGGGATCTGAACCCGTGACCTTGAGGTTATAAAGCTGTGCTCTAACCAACTGAGCTAACTGGCCAGTCTTCAGCCCGCATCTCTTGGGACTGAGGGCAGGGATGGACGCAGCCTGTTTTCTGGCCTCAGGTCACATGCAGGGCTTAGCAAGGAACAGAACTGCCTGTCCTTTGAATGGAGGAGGGAAAAGCCCCTTCCTCTGGCTCACCTGCGTTAGAGAGGCGGCGGGGCTCAGGGATCCCTGGCGGCAGGACACAGACTCGCTGGACAGAGATGTCCAAGGTTTCCTCTTCACTGCTCCAACAGGATGGGGGGACAAAAGAAGCCAAGGTCAAGTCTGTGGGGCCCAAAGGAGGTGGAAACTTGGGCGGGGGTGTGTGTGGCACTGGGGGCGGGGGGCTGCTCTTACTGGGGTCTGCTTCTCCAGCGAGGTCGACACTGCCTGTGGAGGCTGGGCGCCGCGACGCCTCGGAGAAGCTGTGGGGCCGCTGCGGGCCGGAACTGCGGGCACCTCGGCCTCTCTCTTCTGGTGCCTGCTAGGGGACAATGCAGAGGGGATTGGGACCGGAAGGCCCAATAGACCAGGACAAATCAACTCCCCTCCGCCTCCAGCCTGAACGTGCTAAGGTCCCAGGTACAGAGGAGGAGTCACGGGCCTCCGGGTCCTCCCAGGTAGTGCAAGTGAATGAGCTCACCAGAGAGGCCGGTGATTGGCTCAGCCTCACCAGCGAGACTTGTGATTGGCTCTGGGGGACTCACCCGCGGCAGGTCCCTGGCGCTGGGCCTCCCATTGGAAGGGCCCACGTGCACTAGGTGGTTGAAGTTGGTGGGCGGAGAGATGAGCTTGGAGCGCACGAAAGGATCCTTCAGCAGCTCCCTGCGGGCGGAGCGGGTGCGTGAAGCGGCG